CCAGCACCCTCCGGGGAGAATGTGTACCCAGAGTCAGGAGGCACCCTGGCGCCGGCCTGTGTTCTCTGAAACCCGAGTAGTGAGCTGGGCTCTGCAGGGCTGGCAGGCCGGGGAGTACATTATCCAACCTTGTGTACAGGCCAGACTGCCGCTGTACCTCCTTCACCCGCATCCCGGCAGCACCTAGGGGCACAGACCTGGGTCCCTCAGACCCTCATCACCAGTCGGGGGGTTGCCTCCTGTGTGGAACTGCAGCCCAGCTATCCTGTGGGGGCACTGGCCTTGGTTCAAATCCAGCCCCCGCTTTTCTAGTAGATGACCTGCACTTGTTTCTCCAGGAGGTGGCTGACACCTCACAGAGGGCTGGCAGCACCTGCTGGTTCCTGCCTTCCTTCCAGCCCTCAGCAGCGAGGTGATGTTCCTGGGACAGACCACATCCTGGTGCAGGTGGTCCGGAGGCTCATGTGCTGGCAAGGAGCCTGTCTCCGCCTCCCATTCTGCGAACAGAGCAGGGGGCCAAGAGATGATGGCTTGGGGTGGGGCTCAGCAGGGTACACCAGAAAGCAGGAAGTAGGAGAAAGGGACCCGAGGGCAAATCTAGGGCATCCAAGGAAAGGTATGTCTCTCCTTTGACTTTGGGTGAGACCATGCCAGGGTTGGGGTGGACTTCTGGGCTGGGCTAGTATGGGAAGGAGAAGAGATGGAGGAACTCAGCAGGACCCAAGGCCCTCAGAAAAGTGGGATGTCACAAAAGGATGGGGCAACTTAAAGGGGCTTCACAGGAAGAAGGGGGTCTGAGCACAGGATGTAAGAGCAGATATGGTTGCTACACCTTGGCCCAGCTTCCAGAGGGTGCTCTGAGGGGCCGTGACATGGAGAAGGGGGTCTCGGCCCAGAGAGGGGACTTAGGTGCCCAGGCCCTGGCCGTTCATCAGGAGATTTGGAAGGTCAGCTTGACAGGGAGCTCGCAGGACTGGAGTTGCGTTGAGACCAGTCTGGGATCTGAGAGAAGATATTCATGTGGTGGGGTAGGTGGACGTGCCCTCAGAGATGGGCGAGGCCAGGGAGCAATTTCTGGGGGACTCAGTGGTGGGCCAGGTCTTGGGGAGACATCAGGGATTTGAAGGTGACCTGTGTCCCTGGGAGACGGAGTTTACTGAGGCTCAGCACCGAAGAGGAACTGGTGAGACAGGTTAGGAAGGGCAGGGTTCAGGCACACCTGGGCCTGGCTTAGTGGGGTCAGATTTGGGGAGAGGCAGAGGCCTGATTGGTGTTGCAGGATAATGCACTGGACCACAAGGTTGGCGGTTCAAACTCACCAGCCGCTCCTCAGAAACCCTATACAGGGTGACTATGTGTCAGAACCAACTCATCATCAGCAGTTAACAAGAGGCCCATGGAGGGGACAGGTCAGCTAGTGGGCTGCGCCTGAGAGAAGGACCTGGAGTCTGGGTCCGATTTTCTGGGATTGGAGTTTGGATGGGGGCTTGGTAAGGTGCGCCACCATCCTCCAGCCTGCTACTGGGGACTGCAATGGGACAGGACAGGGAGGTTGGGGCTGGGTTAGGGATAGAAACTATGATAGGGCTGGTAGAGAGGTCTGGGTTTGGAGGGGAGACAGAAATTCTAGCAGCTTGGACTTTGGGGACCCGCGGGTGTTTGGTGGGGCCCCATGGGAGGGGAAAGGACACTGAGATGTGACCAGGGCTCAGAGAGGGATTGGGGGAAGGGCACTCAGAAAACGGCAGGTCCTTGCAGTGAGGACACGGGACTGGGATGACGCGTGGGGAAAAGGAGTTGGGGGGAGGGGGTTCACACAGGTCGATGGGCATGCTCTGGGTGCCAGAGGGTGCCGGGAGCTGGGGGGCCGCACCCCGCGCGGAGCTTCTTAGGGTCCCGCTTCCGGCCCGGGCGCCCGGCCCCCGCCCTCCCTGGCGGCAGCGCGGCAGGAGGAGGAGGGGACCAACGCGCCGCCCGTGAGTCAGGCTCTGGCTGAACCGCGCGGCCGGCCTGCGCTGGGAAGCGGAGGCACAGAACCCGCGTCCGGTCCTCCCCAAGGTTGAGGGGGGACCCGCCCGGGCCGGACAACAGAAGGACGCGCAGCCGGAGGCGCAGGGGCCGGCCGCCGCGGAGCTGCCAGTAGGTGAGAGCGCTCTGCGGCACTCACGGGGCCGGGCTGGGAAAGAAGGGGCTTGGCCTCAGACCCCTGGCCTGCCTGGGAGTGCGCTGGGCAAGGGTGGGTGGGGGTGGGGCGCTGGTACCTTTGTACCTTGTTGGAAAAGTGTTTCCCGGAGTGTCGTTGTGTGTCTGTTGGTGGCACCGTGCGAGTGTGCGCGCTTGGGGTCTGGGCATCTTTGGGGGCCGGGTCGGAGGGGGTGGTGCGTGCGCTAGGAGCCCCTGAGCGGCGCTCATCCTCAGGGACAGTCTGAGCAGCACGTCCACGCCGTTGTCACAGTGGGGAGTTGTTTACCTGACTGTGGGGAGCGCGCGCGGGGGCGGGGTGTGCCTGGGGTCTGCAAGCGGTGCGGTGAAGCTGTTTGCGCAGAAAGTGTCAGCGGGTATCTGCGGGCAGGTGACTTGGAGAGCTCTGCCCAGTTTGCGATGTGGGTGTGCGTACGTTGTGTGGCGCGGGGCTCTGAGGTGCTATTTACTGCAACAGTGTGTCCGTCCGTGCTGCTGGGCGTGGGGGGTTGTGATGTGCATGCCCAAGGGTGAATGTGCGCAGATGGAAAGTGATGAAAAGCCCCAGGGTCTTCCTGCCAAGACTGCTGCAAAGGACTTTGGCATCAGCATTGGTGGCCGGCCTGGGTGGCTGGAGGATGCAGGTGGCAGTCTGACAGCTGGCTGCCCGAGTGAGTGCTGTCTCTTTGGGGGGTCTATATAGGGCAGGAGGAGTAGGCAGGGTAGGGGGTCAGGGGCCCACCTCCTGCTTATTCTCGCCTTCCCTCCAGGCCCAGGGCCCCCACCCGTACCCAGCCCCGCTGGGAGTCCGCCAGCATCACGGACGGCACCCAGGAAGCCCGAGTCCCCCTGGACGGGGCCTTTTGGATCCCGAGGCCCCCGACTGGATCTCCCAAGGGCTGCTTCGCCTGCGTGTCCAAGCCCCCTGCCCTGCAGGCTCCCGCAGCCGCAGCCCCTGAGCCCTTGGCCTCGCCCCCCATGGCACCCACTCTGTTCCCCATGGAATCCAAGGGCAGCAAGACAGACAGCATGCGAGCCACGGTGGCCCCCCAGGCCTGCAAGCACTCGGCTGAGAAGAAGATTATGAGCAACCCCACCACAGTGATTGAGATCTGCCCCGACACCACGGAGGTGAACGATTACTACCTATGGTCCATCTTCAACTTTGTCTACCTCAACTTCTGCTGCCTGGGCTTCATCGCCCTGGCCTACTCCCTCAAAGTGAGCCCCCAACCCAGTTGGGGGGAGGGGGGTCACAGCTCACTGCTCCATTTTTCTTGCTCCCCAGGGAACCCAGGGGGAGCTTGTGCAGCCGAGGGGTCAGGGTTGGAAGTTAAGAAAGGGGTCCAAGTGCTGGCTAGCAGGCCCAGCTGTCCATGGAAATTGGGGGCCAGCTGGGGTCCCTGAGGGACTAGTGTAGCCTTTGGAGACCAAGTGCAGACTCAAGGTTGAGAGTCCTGCTCCCTGGACAGCCGGGGGTGGGGGGAGGGGTGATGAGGTACAGATGTCATCTGGCCAGTGACTTTGGGGACGCCCCGAGGACACCTGGGTGGAGGGTCCCGGGCAGGCATATCTCTATCACACTCAGCTTCTAGAGAGCCCACCCCGACAGATGATCAGGGGGACCCAGGGGATAAGGGCTGTGAGCATGGCACCCCATCCGGCCCCCTGGCATGCTGTACCCATCACCTCAAGAATGCCTCATCCCCAGCTCTCAACACCAAGCCTAGGGAAGCTGGGGCGGGCCACATCCAGGGGGTCCTGCCCTGAATTCCCATCACTCTGGGGGGTTTAGATCATATCATCATTTTCCCCCACCCCCAACCCAGATCCAGTAACTTTCTCTGAGTGCAGCCACCCTAGCCCGAGCAGCGCAAGGGTAAAAGCATGAGGCACTGTGAGAGGAGGGGCCCTGCAGAGAGGCTCAGCAGCTCCCGGCCTCCATCCCCTCCAGCACCACACACACAGACACACACACACACACACACACACACACACACACACTGTCCTCTTCCGGGTTCTTCCTTCATCTTCAGGCCTGTGGACCCTTTCCTGGGCTCCAGTGCCCAGAGCCGAGGATGGAGCTCAGGGACAAGGACGCTGGAGTTAGGGGAAGGCCCATCTCTCCAGGCCTGTGCTGAGCTGAGGGTATAGTGTCTGGAGCAGCGGGCACGGGTCTGCCTGAGTGACTTCTGTTCACCTGCCCCTCCTCCCCTTGGCTCAGGCTGTGGCCGGCCAGCTGGCATGGGGCAGGCCCATCTGGCGGGGCCAGCAGGCAGTGGCCTGGAGGCAGGGTGGCAGATTGGTCACTGCTGCTGAGTGGTACAGGATCCGCGTTGGGTGAGTGGTGTGAGGTCACAGTGCCCCCCCCCCCACACACACACACACTGGGGCTACCCTTCTGTGCCCTTTCTTGGGGCAGAGAGGTCAGACAGGATTTGAAACTTACCTGGGTGGTGGTGGTGGGGTGGGGTGGGGCTCAGGGAGGAGAGATGAGCCCGCCCCCTCCCCAGGTGGAAGCTTGGACTCCTGCACCTGGGACTTGTGCACCTGTCCCCCCAGCTGCCCAGGGTCTACTGGGCTTGCCACCAGCTGTGGGCCACTTCCAAGGGCTCTAGGCGGGCTGGGCTTCAGGTCACACGGCCGTGGCTACAACCCCAATTTAGTCTCTTAAGATCAGGGAGCTCTTGCATCTGCACCCCTGGCGACCCCCCCTCCCACCTCCCAAGGCCCTGTTCCCTTATCTGTTCATAAAGCAAATGGAAACAAAGCAGCTATGAAAGTTAGCACTGGTGACACGGGCTGAATGCTGTGTCCCTGCTGACCTCCCGTCCACCCAGCAGGCCATCATTTCCCCCAAGTCTCTGCTCAGCCTCGTGCCCCAGGAGCCAGAAGCACAACAAATCAGTTCTCCATTCATTGCCACTGCTACCAAAAGCTGCCATCTGGTCACTTCATTCCTTTGCCTCATAGTGGTCACTGACTAGTCATCCTTGGCTGGACAAAGCCCAAACTCCTTATCTTGGCATTCAAGGTCCTTGGAGATCCATCTTCAACCCTTGTCCTGTCTTCACCCCGCAAAACCGACTACCTAGGCATCCTGTGGTTGAGTGTGCAGAATGTGTGCACCTGAGTTCACATGGGCTGTTCCCTCAGCCTGCAGAGCTTTGAGGGGATGTGTGTCTCTTCATAGGTTGAGTCCCCATGCTGAGTGCCCACTGCCTCCCAGATATCCCCTTGATGTACTAGTCATGTTTGCCCATACCATCAGATCTACCCTTTTCTCTTGATGGGGGCAGGGCTGATCAAAGTAGAGGCACAAAGACAGTTTGTCAAATGGATGGGTGGGCAGAGAGCATGTGGCAGGATGGATATCACTGTTGTTGTTGTTATGTGCCATGGAGTCGGTTCCAACTCACAGCGACCCTGCACAGGGTTTCTGAGGCTGTAAATCTTTATGGGAGCAGAAAGCCTCATCTTTCTCCCGCAGAACAGCTGGTAGTTTTGAACTGCTGACCTTGCAGTTCACAGCCCGATTCCTAACCACTACGCTACCAGAGCTCCTTAATTGTAATGCTTCAGAAAAGAAGTAGTTGGACTAAGCAGGCATGCGAGACTTTTGGGACAAGTCAGCATTTTCATGGAGGCCCGAAGAATGGACAAATGGACAGATGTCCAGATGATAAAATAGTGAATGAAGACACGAGAGTGGAAAATTGGGGACTCTTATCCTCTGTGGGTCAAGGAGCTCTGGTAGTGTAGTGGTTACGAATCGGGTTGCGAACCTTAAGGTCAGCGGTTCGAAACTACCAGCTGCACCGCGGGAGAAAGATGAGGCTTTCTACTCCCGTAAAGATTTAC